CCAAGTAGCAACCCAATATAGTGTTAGTCATAAAGTAAACCAAAATGTTTTTAAAATCAGTAATTGTCGTTTATTAATATTGAGCTGTAAGTCAAATAACATGCAAAAAGAAAATAGTATTTTTATTCCTATATCTACACTACACCGTTTAAAGGTTTGTGGTCACCAAGGCTGCATTTATTTGGTCAAAAATACTGTAAAAACTGTAATATTGTGAAATATTATTAGCATTTAAAATGTATATCTTTTATATTTAACTATAATGTAAAGTAAAATGTATTTATTTATTATAGCAAAATTTTCAGCATCATTACTCCAGTCTTAAGTGTCACATGATCCTTCAGAAATCATTCTAATGCTGATTTGCTGCTCAAGAAACATTTCTTATTATTATCGATGTTGAAAACAGTTGTGCTGCTTAATATTGTGATAGGCTACTTTTTTCAGAATCTATTGTAATATTATAGATATCTTTACTGTCATATATCAGTTTAATGCATCCTTGTTATAAGGAAATTTTATTTCTTTAAAAAAATTTGTAATGACCCCTAACTTTTGTGAAGCCATATTTAATCTAGGTCCAATTTCTTTTATCTTGTAGTTTTGCTTGAGGTTTTCGAGGAGGAGTGCAAGCCACACAGCCTGGCCATATTGGCAAATGCTTAATTTGAGCTTTTACTAAGTGACAGATGAGTTTGATTGGACGCAAAACTTTTAATGGCAACAGCAAAAGACACAGTGTTTTATTTTGATGTTATATGTTTTATATGTTTAGTTGAACATTGTTTTTATTCTTCTTCTTTCAGAAGAGACCTGCGTGCCACCAGTTGCGAACCATTGCTCTACACGTGACGTTTTCTTGTATCTTAAGCCTCGGACAGGTGCGTAGAATCCTGCAGCCGGCCAAATGACAAGTCCCATCATACAAAGGTATTAAGTAGAGAGTGGGAATTTCTCTGCTTCTCAGGGTCTTCTCACACAAAAATGGAAAAACACACACATGGTTTTTCTCTCAGTGGCTAAAACAACAGCCTGAGAAAACTCTCACTGTATCTGCAGACTGAAAAAAGAGCCGTCTTTCTCTCATTTTCGGCACCCTTACACCCTGTTTCGTCTTCTGTCCGGACTTCTCATCCGATCAGGTTTCCCTCCCAGAGTCGCTCCGCACAGCTGCACACTTCTTTTAATCCACCTCTCGCTCTGTCTCTTTCGCACACACACCTCTATCATCAGTATTTTTATACGATCGCCAGGAAAACACGGCAAATTTTTTAGAGATTTAGGATTGAACAAGAAAAAAACAATTGAAATCAAGGGAAAAAAAAATCTCTGTGATTGTAAACACATGGGCGGAATTACCATAGAAACCAGCTAGTTGCATTAGCACTATAACATCCTGTCAGTTGCAACAATTACAGAGTGAACTTTGAAAGAAATTCGCCCCGAAAGTGACTCAAATATACCACTGAGGCCTTTCTTACAAGGTCGCTAAAGAGTGCATCCAAGTGACGGGCTCTTAATAGTTTTTAAAGCTGAGGTTATGTCAGAATGAGTGTGTCCGGCTAGGCTATCAAGCATAGCACATAAAACATAATGGCCCGCCTGCAGGAAACTAAATATAGATGGTGTTTTGATTACGTGAAAATTGACATTTCAAAGGAGATTAGGATCCGGCCACTAAAACAACACAGTGAAGAGCCGGGAGGCAGAAGCTGAGAGAGAAAGCTACCTTTACACGCTTAGCAACACACGGGCACATGCTCACTTTTTCCAGATCGGGCTACTGTGAGTGTGTTTGTGTGTGGGAACGTCACTCCGGCGACTAGCTTGGCTACTCTTAGCCTTCCTTTCACGCGATCGCTAAGTGGTTGACCCCGTGACCCCCGTCTCCTTGGAGCGCACGGAAGTGCTTCCTTCGCTACGGCAGGTGGAACAGATGACATCACCAGCGGAGAGCGTCCCATTAATGACGATTGGCTGTTTTTTCCGACATTATTCTGACATTACTACCACATTATTGTTGTATTAGTAGTGTCATTATTAGGCCAGGTGTGTTTTTACAGTGAGCAAACCCTCTGTCGCTCTGAATAGACACTATGTGGGCCAGGATTGAGATGGGACAGGGCGCCGGATAGCCGACACGAGAGGCTTCTCACACGCACACGTGCCATGAACCTACAAAAGTCAAACTGAGTTCATGAACACAACAATGCAATTCTTTGTGTGTAGACAGAAATATCCTATAGTAAACTTTAGTTAATGATGATCCGCAAAATGAAACCAAATATTTTAAACATGTACAATTTTTAAATACAATCAACTGGGATGTTTAAGTCATTCAACTTAAATTGCATTGAATTGACTTGAACAATGAGTTGAAAATTATATAACATAAAAAAGTTGAAAATTTGAGTTTAAGCAATGTTAAAACCATGTTGTAACTTATTGATCATAATATATTTTTTTACAGTGCATCAGCATGTAATGTTGAGAATTAAATGAAACAATCATGTTCTTTTTAGATTTTTCTTTTTTTTTCTTAAGTGTTTTCATAAAAAAAATCAGTTTTTTCTTTATGACACATAATGTGCATAATGTTTTCATGAAAATCTCCTTTATATTTAGTCGTCCTTTATATATAGTCAATTTCATGTCATATTCATTCATTGTTAGTCAAATTTAGTCAATGAAAAAGTGCTTTATTTTACAGTGTCATTGTTACACGTTCCATGTAGTTTCTGTAGTAATATAGATTATGCATAATTACATGCAACTAATCCTATACCACACCCTAATCCTAACCCTAAAGTAACTAATGTACTTAATTGTATAAAGGACACCTTAAAATAGTGTAACCAACTTTTTAATATTATTTTAAAAATGCATCAATATGTAACAAAATCCTGACTTTACTAACTGTCAACAGCATGTTTTCATTATGGTCATGATGCACATTTTCAGTCTCATCTTTAGTAGCAAACATTTTTGTTAGTAACTTAATTGACGAAATTAACATTTGTGTACATTTGTGCACCCGATAATTATCTTTCAAAACTCCCCAAACTACATGCACTCTCATGCGACGCCTGGATCACTGTGAAAGCTATCATGTTCAAGAGAGCATGGGGATCCTGAGAGCTCGGGCCAGACATGACGGTCTTCCTCTTTTAAAAGAGCATCGTCATGGAGACGCTTCCGACACCACACAACGATAAATGGCAGAGCCGTAAGAGATATTCGGTTGCACGCACACACGCAACAGCAAATGCATGCAATTAAAGAGATGTTCTTCATTTCACATCCACCTGGATGTAAGAGTCTCGGCGAGAAGCTTGCCAATCGATGGACTTACAGATAAGCGATCAAAAACACAGATACGATCTCGCGCACACACACATCTTCATGTCTGATTAGTTGTGTTGAGTCTGGTCGCTATACACACAGATCTGGACTCACCCTAAGGATTTTGGGTAACGGAACACTGCAGATCCACATCTCAATAAGTGTAGAAACAGGTTTCCTCTCTCTCTCGTTCTCTCATTTCCTCCCGTTTCTTTCTTTCAATCTCTCGCTTGTCTCATGCCATAATGCATTTTGCTCTTCATCTTGTTCATTTTCTGTATCATGCCTATTAGATTAAAAAAAAGAGCGATCTTAATGGAACAGTTCACAGATAATGAAAATATTGTCATCTTTTATTCACCGTCATGTTATTCAAAAAAAGCATTACAATACTTTTTGACTTCTGCGAAACACAAAAGGAAAGATTTCAAAGGTGTTGTTTGCTCTTTTAATTGCAATTGGAGACAGGAGCTTTCAAAAAGCACTATAAAATTATCCTAAAAATAATGTGTGCGGTATTTTAAGTCTAAAGATGATATAGCTTTGTGGTGTTAACATACCAAAATTGAAGTTGTTACTACCTGATAATCTTCACCTCCAGTGAGCTGTTACACCCTGAAATCAGATCATTGAGTCAGTGAGTTGGAAAATCAGTTTAGTTTGATTGGTGAATGAATCATTCAGGTTTTGGATCAAGTGATTCATTGAAAAGCTCAGATTCTTAAGAATGATTCATTGGGAATGCTATTAGATGGAGATCAAATGGACACATTTGCCTAAAGTCAACATGAAAAGGGAAAATACTCTATTTTGTATTGTAAAAGGATTCATTTACCGTAATTTTCAATGAAAGTGTCCGGATCTTCCAGGGAAAATGGCAGACTTCTCTCTGGTGATGTATGCTGGATATATTATTTTCGATAATCCATTTGGGATGTATGGCAAAATACGGAACAAAAGATTCTCAGATTTTTCTTCTGAGAAAAGACTCCAGTAATCTCACAAGTATCAAAATATACTCAGATATTTCCAAGATTTCAAAGTCTGCCATCAAAAGTCAGATTTCAGTGTCAGCTCAAGCTTTTTTCAACAAATATTCCAAGCCCACATAATCTTAGCTATGCAATCCACTTTCATTTTAGCTCTGTACTCTTATTGTATGTCGCCAAATGACAATTGTTGTGTATTGTCTAATAAACACTTTAAATCTCCTGAGGAATTTTTGGAGAAACATGCTTTACTGATTGAGTCTCATGAGCTATGAAAGAGAAATACAATTGTTCTATGGTACAGGCACAGACATTATGATTCTATCTGTACACGCACACACACACATGCACATCTCCTGGATGGCTTTCCCTCTTTGGTGTCCTGATTTTCCAAAACATCTTAGTGAGGGAGAGTGAGAATGAGAGAGAGAGAGAGAGAGAGAGGGATCGTCGTAGGGTCTCTGTGGAAATGTTGGTGTGGTGGACAGGCCTGCCCGGTCTGCTCTTTATTTAACAGTGGGAGTAAAGAGAGATGAGCTCTGTGTGTGCAGATAAATATAGTGTGGGAACAGGCAGTCTGCTGGGGAACTCTTCACAACCTAACGCCACCTAACTTTCTCAGACAGAGAGAGATCTGAGCACTTTTCCCCCGGTTAAGACTCGATGAGTGAATTACAAGATGCAGGTCATCAACGACCATCAACACACACACTCATGTGGCCAGATACAGTATAGTTTATACACAAGAGATTGGATTACGCCAGAGAGAGAGATAAACCACCTACGCATACTGAACTCCAGCACATACACACTTTCAAACCAGTGGAAACACAGCAGGTTGTCAGTTACAAGCTGACCTTCCAGGCACTTTTGGCCATCGTTTGTGCGTGTAAGCCAAAAGAAGGACAGAAAGAGAGAAGTGACACGTACACACACATTCAAATGTGTCCAGCTGCTCCCTCGGGTGGCTATTAGTTTGTAATCGTAATGAGGATGAGAGAGTTGGGGAGAGCGGCTTCAGGGCGAGCCACAGTGGAAAACCTGCAGAAATGATGTCAGAGCAATCGCGACCACCGATTGGAGTGGAGATTCCCGACGAGAGCCTATAAAACCGGGAAAGACAACAGCAGGAACCAGCAAAGGCAGAGAACGTGAGAAATTCCAGGAACTGCACGGTGTCCATCTGTCCGTCCCCGTGTGACTGAAACCGAATCTGATTAAGGGTAAGGAGCCTTGGAGAAAGACCAACCTTTATGTTCCTACAGGGCTGTGTGTGTTTGGGTGGAAAGGTGAGCAGACAGGTGTTGAAGATGTATTTAAAGACATCTGTTAGGGGTTGTTGTAGAATAACTCTGGTTAGTTGGTCGAGAATCTGCTGTTTGATAAGCAACTGTGAATTAGTTTGAGCTCCAGGGTTACAGATGAACCTGTCTCGAAAAAATGCTGGGTTGTTTTAACCCAACTTTGGGTCAAATATGGACAAACCCAGCCGTTGGGTTAAATTTTTTAACTACATTTTAACCCAACGTTTGGGTTTGTCCATATTTGACCCAAAGTTGGGTTAAAACAACCCAGCATTTTTAGGGTGAAACCTCCTGTTGATTTTGCATTGCTGCAATAGTGACACAGAGGTGTGAAATCATGTCTGATATTAGAGAACCGTTGAGAGTGTCTTTGAGAGAGTGAGTGTGTGTGCATGCAGGGCAGTGAAGAGTGTGTGGGCATTGGGAGATGGCTGGAGTTGTTTATTTTTGGGCACGGAAAATGCTAAAGTTAGCCCATGTTGCTGGACAATGCATTTCCCCAGTCGTGGGGCAGGACAGGGGCCACACCTGGTCCGGTGCTCAGTGCACCCTCCCTGGAACACTGAGGACGGGACACTCTGGGTCAAATAATAAGTGAAACTGCATTACTGGTGCATTTCGGAAAGATACTATACAATCCTGCCAAAGAGTTTTGAATCATTTTTAGGAGAAATAATGTGGCAGGTGTTCATATTTGGTGAGAAACTTTGTTATATTTCTTTAAAGTGACAACTGACAATAAAAGAAGGGCAAAATAAAATCATGGATGATTCAAGGTCAGAATTTCACAAATATAACATTTAGTTTTGTTTATATAATTGTCTATCTCATCTATCAGTAACCTAATTAGTTGTGGTAGAAGTGTTTTTTTTTTTTACCAGTCATTGAAAGTTGCATTTATTTCATTTATATTTATTTTAAAGTACTTTAAAAATAAATTATGTTTAAAAGAAATTACACAAATTCCACTAAGATGAATGCCATTTTTAATGGCACTGGTGCAATGCAATTCAACACAACTGCCAGCAGACAGCAGTCAAAATGGATTTAGTGCATTATCATAATCTGAATAAGGTGGTTTTAGAAAAAAAAAAGAAAGAGCTAAGATAATGGTGATCTCTTAAATATAATATTTACTGTAATAAATTTATCAGCACTATAAAACATTTGCTCAAGTGATGCGAAACAACAGTAACGTGCAGTCCCGCCATGAGGAAGTTTTTTTGTTGTTGTTGCGAGTTTGGTTAAGAGTGTGTTTTGGGGACACACAGGTAGGGGTGCAGGTCAGAGTGTGTGTTTGGGCTGAGTTCATGTGTTTGTGTAGAGGGTGTGTGTTAGAAGCATTCTCACACTCTCGCGGCTGCCGGACCGCCCAGTCAAAGTGTATTTTCACAGATGGAGTCTGGATGAATGTAAACATCGCCCTGTATCACAGTAATTCAACACGGTGCTGAAGCTGGAGTGTGTGTGTGAACTCTCAATTGACAATACACTGACACAGGGACATAAAAACTTTAATCACTGTAATTATGTTGCTAGATAGATAGATAGATATTGTGTACAAAAATGTATTAAATTGATCATAAGTAATAGTAAACGCATTTATAATGTTACAAAATATTTATATTTCAAATAAATGCAGATCTTTTGACCTTTCTATTAATCAAAGGATCCTGAAAATAAATGTATCTTGGTTTCCACATAAATATTAGGCATCAGCAATGTAACTGCAACATCGATAATAATAATGAATGTTTCTTAAGCATCAAATCATCATATCAGAGTGATTTCTGAAGGATCATGTGACACTGAAGACTGGAGCAATGATGTTGAAAATTCAGCTTTGCATCACAGGAATAAATTACATTTTAAAATATTTTAAAATAGAAAAATATATTTTAAATTGTAATACTATTTCAGAATATCAGTGCTTTACTGTACTTTTGATCAAATAAATGCTACATTGGTGAGCATAAGAGACTTTTTTCAGCAACATTAAAAAATCTGACCGACCCCATACATTTTAATGGTAGTATACATGTACATGATTGTCAGAAATCACATTGTTAATATTGTATTGAAGATGCTGGGCTGTGGATGTGTGCTGCTCTCTGGTCTGCTGACACTGACCTTGTTCCACTGCAGTGTGGAAAGTCTTCACATACCCCAAGAAAGACCAGAGGTAAGTCCAGGTCTCGCTGATATACATATATATATATATAAAGAGAGAGAGAGAGAGAGAGAGAGAGAGAGAGAGAGAGAGAGAGAGAGAGAGAGAGAGAGAGAGAGAGAATAAGGTTAGATTACATTTTGTGTTTTGTAAGGGAACTTCACTCTGCCTGTCTTCAGACAACACAAACAAAACAGACTTCATGTATGTGATGAGATTAACTGGTACAAGTGACAGATGATAAGCTGTCATCAGTCTCGGTGCTCTATAAATACAGTGGGGTTTCCCCTAGAGAGCCACCACAGGAGGTTACCATTGCCATCCCCTTATGAACATGAGCTACCTCTCTGCCCATCTGAGAACTGACCCACTGGGTCACCCATTCTCATTCTGCCTGTTTCTCAATATGACATAGAAGGAACCAGCTGTAGTATTGCATCTTAAAGGGTTTGAGTTGGTCTTTAAGGTGTACAAGCTGTATATATATTGTTTTTTTATTCCAAGATGGTTTAACAGCTCTAACAGCTTAGTCAAAACCATGTCCATCTAGAAACCATGTAAAACCTGTTTACCTCCTTAAAATTGTGTTAAATGAATTGTCCATCAGGGAAAATATTTATTTTGGGGGAAGACTGTGATTTTACTGACAATTTTGAAAACTGAATATTACCATGCATTTCCTTATTTTGATCTAGTATGTGGAATCACCTGTCGTGGAGGGCCGCAGTGTCCAGCAAAGCCAAACCGAGCAGAAGGCCTCAGGAGCCGTCAACGCTAAACACCTCCTGCACCACCAGCTGGTCCGACTGGAGAACGACGTCATCGAGACCAAGAGGAAACGGAGTTTCCCCGGATCCAACACGCCTCTTGATCGCCTGTCAATCAGCACCATGGATCCCAAAAGCAACAAGCAAAGGTAGAGGACAAGAGAAAACACTTTCATTTTAGTTTGGAAAAAGAAGTGAAAAGCATTTATAACGGGAATAAATAATAAAATAGCATGATTAAAATATTTCACATTATTATTATTTTAATAATAATTTAAACATTTTGAGTAGATTTTTAAATTGACACCTTAATTCTTTATTTGGTGTTTTATAACAACAGTTTTTTATATTATCATCATATCATGCTGAAAAATTGTCTCAATTAACTAAATCATTAGCACTGTAAGTTTTAATTAAAGAAACACATACAAAACACAGATGATGATGAACCATAAGTAGCTTTGATTGGCCGGGGCTCAAACACATAGTTTTTATTGGCTGAAGTCAGTCATGCACAGCTTGATAGTTTTGTGTGTTTTTACAGTTCACTAAGAGCAATTAATGTTTTGTCTGTAGCCCACAGTTAAAGTTACTTCTATTTCTTGGGTGGAGTCACAGTGGTGTGGATTGAGGTTTTGTATGACATAATAAGTGTCTGATACGGACTTACGGGAACGGACAGTCCAACTGTGCTGATGACTGTATCATCGGACTTCCAGTCAATGATCAAAACTGTTTTATCTCTGTGAATGATTTGATCTTCCTGCCGGACGGAACACGCAGTGTGTAACACAGCATGGCCTGAGGCTCTGACAAGGCTCTATCTAAATGATCCTCAGCACTTGATCAGATCAGGACAGAAGCCAAGAACAGCAGTGAAAGCACCACACCACCATGCATTATCAAATCTCAACACCTGAATCCATCTCTCATGAGCCTGATAAACATGATGAAAGCTCACGAAACCCCTCCATAATGTGACTGTTCCAATGATCCTCAGTAAAGATATTCATTTCAAAAGCAAATGTTGAATTCTGTTTCTAGTCTTCTAAAGAAGGTGTGAGATCATACAGTATAGGGGTGTAACGGTTCAGAACATTTACATGTCCCCATAATAACTTACTTCACCTTTCCTCAAGGATACAGCGAGTGAAGCGGCACCTGAGGCTTCCCGTTTTCAGGACACGCACATATTATCACTGAACTGAACTGTGGAATAGTTGTGAGACTTCCACGAGTCATGACACAAATCGGCACAATGCCAAATTATTTAGTCTCACCAACTTAAAAAAAACTCCATAATTGATGCTCATACATAAGAGTAAGACATCATTCAAAACTGTAATGAATACATGTACCGTTACACCCCTAATACAGTATGATTGCATCTTCCAGGCGGAAATCATAAGCTGCTAAATTTGACATATATCCATAGAGTAAACGCTGCAAATGTAAGAAGCTATTGCTAGTACTGGAAAACTAGCTTACTTACTAAATACTTCAGTAGACCTATACACATTTTAAATAGTAAGTGAAATAGTAGAATGCCACACCTCATCGTTTCATTGTTGTGTAAAAATGTCCAACTCTTTTATCTTAATCATCAGTCTGATGAAATAATGAGGAAAAAAAGGAACTTCGGTTCATTAATCACATTAAAAATGGAAGGTCAAGTGCGAGTTTGTCCATTGCTTTGTGGGATATTTCATGCAGTGTGCATTGTCATATAGGCCTAATTCTCATTTTACCAAATGTAATGTAGTAGGCTAGGTCAGTCCGGTAGGCTATACAGAACATCTGTAAAATGTACCATGTGTATGCTATTTAAGTTTCAAGTAGCTTTTATAAACGTGCCTTAAACATTATACGGTGTGCATTGAGACAAAACAATGGCACTGGCATGTTGTAAGATTATGTCAGTGCAAGTTGCTTTCAGTTAAAACAGCTCAAACATGCATTATAGTCTGGGACTAGGTTTAAGCCTTTTCTGTGGAATGAGTAGCCTATGTCATAATTATGGTGATAATTTTTTTTATTTAAATACAATTAATTTTAAAAAATAATTTTACCACAGCATGTTTTTTTCTTAGCCTATTTTCCGGAAATGGGCTTCCATAATTTTGAACATCCTTAAATAGGCTACTTGCCTCCGCTTCATTTCTGAAGGCTGTCGTGTCTTTCCACTCGGCAGTATGTGAATGTGAAATAAAACGACAGTAATCTGAAGGAAATGTCTGGTATCTTTTCGTTATGTCCGCAGAAAGGTTGAGTTGCCGCGGCGACGAGTCAGCGTTCCGATAGACCGGATCGGCGTGGGTCGTCTTCCCAATCCCAACAGCCGAGGATAGACTCCGCCTGCTTCGACCACGCCCTGACAAACAGGTATCAACTACATAATGTTATACGAGTCTACTTAATCTCGTTAAATGTATTGTAAAAATGAAAATATCTTGTTTGTTCTTTTGTCCACAGAGGGGAATGTCGCAGGTAGATGAAATGCATGACAAGCACACCAGCCAACACAACTCACTAACCACTGAATGATCAGCGCATTTTTAATAATCGCTTTTCCAGAGCTGTTCTTTCTCATTGATCACTGACGTAAACTTTCAACGTTTAATCAAACGGTTTATTTCCTGTTCGCATCCATCATCATTTAAATTCAACTTCTAAACTGTATTCCTTTTAGAAAATGAGTTCCGTTTATGTCAGAGGCATAGCCAATCAGAGAGGAATCTGCTCATAGCACATCTCAATATTTACTCCTCACGACGTCTCGCTTGCTGTTATGTACTGTACACAACTATTGTTATTTTCTCAATTTGACTGAAGGCTGTTCAGCCTTGACAATAAAACAGATTCAATTCTACAACCGTCTCTCTTATTTCAACTAAAATGCGAGCTGAGCTGCTAAAAAAAAAATTCAAAGAGTCCACTGTGACGCTGATTAGTGAATATGTGCTATGTATGAATGTTAAATATCATAATTGTTGATACCTGGTGGTTGGTGTTGATCCCTTTTTCTAGTTTTGTAGAATAGAAGGGGACAATGCAGTCCATAAACGTATGCTACTTGTCTGACAAAGACATATTCTAGTAATGAAGCTTACACACTAAACATATAGCAAGCAACACGTTTCTTGAAACATTTATTTCTCCAACATGTGCAAATACAACTATAAAATCAGTGCATTTCTTACAGAAAAATAATGGCTTTTAAATAGGAGTGTTTATAAAAGTATAACATTTGAAAGGTGTTGTTAAATAGGTCTGAAACTGCGTTTCATCAGGTAAATGATTTATGTTGATATAGATATAAAGGTGTATATTTGATTGTTGCTTATGTACTATAAACTGCCATTCAAATGTTTGTGGTAGGTAAAATTAAAATAAAATAATAATAATAGTTTGAAAGAAGTCTTTTATGCTTACCACCGAGGCTGCATTTAAAACTATTTTAATAGATTTTAAAATGTTATTCATTCTTGTGATGCAAAGCTGAATTTTCAGCATCATTACTCCAGTCTTCAGTGTCACATGATCCTCCAGAAATCATGCTGATTTGATGCTCAAGAAACATTTCTTGCTGCTTCATATTTTTGTGGAAATCGTGATACTTTTTTCAGGATTCTTTGATGAATAAAAGTTCAAAAGAACAGTTCTTATTTGAAATAGAAACCTCATGTAAAATTATACAGTAAATGTCTCTACTGTCACATTTTGATAAATTAAAAGTATTCATTTGTTTAGAAAAAAAAAATCATACTAACCTCAAACTTTTGAACAGTAGTTAATTATATAATGCTGTCTTGATAGGCTAAAGACCCTAACCAGTACTGAAGGACAATACACTTTTTGTAGAGTGTTTTAAACAACAGCAGACAAAAAAAAAAAATGATGAAAAAATGATGAAAGATGATCTAAGCACAGGGACAAATGAGGTGAGTACAACACTACTTGTCATAATGAATATGGTTCTGACTGGTTGATTCAAGCGTCCGGCGCAAGCTCATACCATTCATTAATGAATTCACAGACTGTGAACTTGAACTTGAATGAAATAAAAAGTTCATAACTCAGGAGTGAATGTGACCAAATGAAAGAATTACCACTATTGGGTGTAACTCTTGTTCACATTAAAAAGCACAGAAAAGTTATTTTGTTACAAATGGTAAGAAATGGCTCCGCTGCTGTTTTCCGAGACCCTCACCATCAGCGCTCCACATCCATGTGCCCGTGTAGCCAGTGGACGTAGTTTGCCACCCGGGTGTACACCCCATACACCCTCTGACTGCCACACTCCTCTGGCCCACCCCAGGACACCAATCCTTGTGCCACCCATCTGCCACTGTGGGAGTCCTGGGTGACAAAGGCTCCCCCACTGTCCCCCAAACAGGTGTCCGGTCCACCCTCGTAAAAGCCAGCACAGAACATATTGCTGGTGATATTGTAGTTGACGGAGCGTGACGCATAGCTAGCTTTGCATTCGTCCTGCGGCACGACCGGAAGCTTCACATACTGGAGCAGCTCGGAAACGGCGGAGGAATCAGAGCTCAAGCCGTTGGTGGAGCCAGAAGCGTTGGCCGTGTTGATTCCCCAACCGGCCACGATACCCAATGTGTTGGGAAGAGGCATCAGGACATTACCTTCTACACCAGGCTTTGGAAGACAGACAGGTCGTAGTAACGCAGACAGCACCACCTCCTGGCTGAGTTTAACCAGAGCTATGTCGTTGTTATAGTTTTGAGGATCAAACTGAGGATGGAGGATGACTTTCTCTACGGACCGATTGGTTGCCATGTGCTTTTCCCGTACATCCGTGAAGCCCAAGTGCACTTGGATGTGTTCAGAAGCGACAGGGATGACGGAAAGATCACGGCGATGAGATCTGAGCACGTGAGCGGCTGTGACAACCCAGGTTGGGGAGAGGAGAGCGCCGCTGCCAAACCAGCGATCCTCTGGGACACGGGACACATCCTCCACTGAGAGCAAAGCCTGCCAGGGGAACAGACCGGGAGATGCTGTTCTTCCACCAACGATTCGCTTCTGCTGGGCTGGGAAGAGCTGTGACGGCTCACCGCATGCTTAAATGAAAACAGGTGCAAGTTTACATAGATATGCATAACCAAGGCTACATTTGATTAAAAATACATAAAAAAAATTGTGGAATATATTATAATTTAAAATAACACTTTTCTGTATTAATATATAGTTTTATTTATTCCTGGAATAACAAAGCTGAATTTTCAGTAGTCAGTGTCACATGATCACTCAGAAATCATTCAATCAAGCTAATATGCAGATATGTAATACATTATTTAGTTTTTGTAAAACAATGTTGTGAATATGTATCATTGGTTTGAACAATCATAAACTAAAAAGAATGATGTCTCATGATACATCACAATGTTGCTTCCCAGTTCATTTCGAACTGGACCGAAAAATGACTCGAGGTTTATTGAGTATTGAGTTTTATATTATACGGATTTGAGCGATTCCCTGACTGAGATTACAAATATTTTCATCACAGTCTAGTGCCCTGCAAAATTCTTTTACAATTCCAAAGCATTACATTTGAAGTTTGAGCCTTACCAAGAGGAGTGCTTGCTTGTGGAGTAGGAAGTTGAGATTCAGGACTGGTACTCAAGGTTCTTTCAAAATCTCCTACCATAAATACACACACAACAGTAACTTATAGGCCTACTCTAGTCATGTACAGTAGTAGGTTAGAACACAGTTACCATGCTTAAATGTAAAGAAGCCCTGTTTATAATAAAATAAATAGAATAGGCATAGGAGTGATTTTAATATACTGTAAGTGACTCTCTGTAACACACCTTACCTGGTAGACAGGTGGGCAGTGGCGTCCCGTCCTCACTCACCCATTCCCCACTCTGATGACAAGTGTAAGTGTCTGTAAGGCCAGTCAGAGTCAAATCCACAGTGACATTTAATATGATTGGACTTTAATGCATCAATGACTGAAAGTGAAATACTCACTGTTGACCTTGACAGAGTCTCTACAGCTGTACTGGATTCTGGATCCAAACACAGTACTGTTTCCAGAACTCTCGAAAACAACCTCACCCAGAACTACATCTACTGGACCACAGTCAACCACTAAAGGAGAGATAATAGGAGAGAAGACAAGTTAGAGTAATAATAGCCATATTTGGATTCCTTGGATGAAGATTTTGATTGATTGATGGTTGATTCAAATTTAGTTTTTTATTATTAAAGAGATTCTTCAAAAATCTTCAAAAGTACACTATCAGAATTTATTATATAATTATTAGAATAGCATTTTACTCAAATTTAAAGGTTTGACAGGATGCACGTATTGCATTATTTGTTTGATGGATTAGATGGGAGGAATTGTTTGAGCAGGAGGTGAAAATTGTATGATTTGCAGAATGTTAGCAATGAATCTTAAATTAAAGAATAATGACAGGAATTCTCAAATATGATTGGTGGATTTTGTAGAAGGTCATGCTTATTGTAAGCGGACTCTTGATGGAATGGATTTAAAGGGTTACTTCACCCTATAATTACAGTTTTGTCATCATTTACACACCCTCCAAACCTGTAAAGGTGATGATACACAGGGCAACTTTTTGAGCAATGTTGCTGGGCAATGTTGCCGTCAACGGGCAACCAGATGAGACACAGGGCCCACGGCCGATATAAATTATCCTGATATAAATTTATTGTCCATTTTCAATGTGAAAGTGCCCAAGCAACAATCGCTCGGCAAGATTGCCCAGCAATATGCTCAAAAAGTTGCTCTGTGTATCATCACCTTAAGACTTTCATTCATCTTCGAAACACAAATGAATATTTTGCAATGAAATCTGAGAGCTTTCTGTCCCTCCTTTGACAGTCCACGCAACTACCACTGTCACTTCAAAAGGTCCATAGAGATAGTGAAACTAATCCATATGAATCGAGCGGTTTAATCCAAATTTTTTTGAAGAGACATGATCACTATATATCATGAACAGATTGAATTTAGGCTTTTATTCACATATAAACATTGATCTGAGAAACATGAATAGAAGCTCAACCGTACTAGCTTGATGAGCTCAAACGTGCTGCGTAACATGAGAATGAACCTCATTGGTTCTTGCTGAAGTTCAAATATGTTGCGTAACACACGAGAATGAACCTCATTGGTTCTTGCTGAAGCTCAAACGTGCTGCGTAACATGAGAATGAACCTCATTGGTTCTTGCTGAAGTTCAAATATGTTGCGTAACACACGAGAATGAACCTCATTGGTTCTTGCTGAAGCTCAAACGTGCTGCGTAACAAGAATGAATCTCATTGGTTCTCATTTGTCAAGCAAGCATGCTTGAGCTTCCACAACTTATGTGTGAGTTGATTAATGTTTATATGTCAATAAAAGCCTAAATTCAATCTGTTCATCATATAAAGCGATCGTGTCTCTTCAGAAAATGTGGACTAAACCGCTCAATTCATATGGATTAGTTTTGCGGGGATTAGACATGTGGGGGAGTAATTAATTCAGAATTTTCATTTTTGGGGGGACTAACCCTTTCATTTGGTGAAGAAAAAAATTTACCATTTACAGTAAATAGTGAAGATCACACTCATACCAAACATTAAGTCTTCACTCTTCCACATGAGTTGTCCGTTCCCAACAGGTGAGGCAGCTTTGCAGTCAGTCCTGTCTGAAAGTCTAAGTGCATTTATGTGTATGTACTTCTGTCTCAAAATGAACCTAATAGTAAAAGTAATGTGTACTATTGAATAAGAGATTTAAAAATATGTATAAAAAACTAAAGATCATGTTCACATCCATACAGTACAAGTGTATGCTCACTGGTTTATTTCAGCACAACATTAATAACCA